GCATAGAGATGGAAGATGGGAGCCCCCAGGTGGGGCTTGGGGGACTTCTCCATGCCACTTTCTGTTTCTGGGCTGGAATATTCCAGCTGAATAGCAGTCCACACCCCTAAGCTGTTCAATGTGCTTGCTGTCCTCGATGCCTGAAGAGGTGGCAGTGAGGGAGAGAGGGGCACGGCGTGAGTAGATCCTGCTGCTTGGCCCAGATTCCTCACGTGCTTGGCATGTGGAGGAGTGTGGGATGGAGTTGGGTCAGGGGGAAGGCCTGTGCTTTCTGGGGAGACACTTGCCTTTGGCACATGCACTGAGCCCCATAGAGGGTTGTATTTCGTGGTTTCTGCATGGAGTGCCTGTTTTCCAAGTTTTTCATCAACTTTCAGTTTGGGGATGGTCTGAGGCTCAAGGTTGTGTGTGTTTTTTGAAAGCTTGGCAAGCATCCTGGTCCAGGACCAGGCTTGGGGTGTCCGTCTTGTGTTCTCCATCCTTGTGTCAATTAGTGAGAGCTGAGAGACCCGTGAAGTCAAGATGGCTGGAAGGAAAGAGGGTGAGTATACTTCATGGGTCCCTGATCCAGCCAGGCACTGTGTTCAAGGCTTTTACGTCCATGTTGACTTATCTGGGCTTCACAGAATTCAACTCACAGAAGTGAAATGACCTTCCAAGGTCGAACAACTGCCGGGTAACAACGCTTTGTTGTGGTCCCAGGCCTGACTCCCCAGAGCATGGGTCATTTCAACCCTTTGATTCTGCTGCTGGGGTCAATCTTGCTTTCTTATTGGGTGTCTTGACCCTGCATCCCAGCTTTCCCTTAGACTCATGAGAGAGCCCCTTCCTGTCATAGCCCCAAATGGCCTTTGGACCATCACTTCTGGTCATCCTGTACTTGTCACACCCTTGGCTAAGGACCTGAATGGATTTCAGCCCATGCTTGATGTCCCCAGAAATAGACTCTTTCTCCAACTTCTGGGCAGTGGCCCTGACCATGTTGTTGGGCACATGACTTTTCTGGATTCAGTTGCTTTTCTCCAAGGTCAAGCTCTTGCCTTGTCAGAGGGAGAAGACAGTACATCTGTCCCCATCTGGGAAGCATGTGAGCAAGTGGCTAAGGAAGGATGATTCAGAGCTTGATACAAAGGTGCAGGATGGACAGGGGGTGTCCACATCCCGCCCTCCTGTACTAGACTAGCTACTGAAAGATGCCAGATGTTGGGTGCTTCCTGCCGAGGAAGGCAAGGTGTGATCCAAAACCTTCAAGAAGGTCCTTCCCTTCCCTTCCCCTGTTCTCCTTGTCTGGACCAGCCTCTCAAATTGTGTCACCCAAGTCTTGTTCAGTGCTCTGAGCCTGGTTTGCCATCGGGGAAACCAGTGAACAGTGAGCCATTTAGAGTGTTTCCAGCCCAGCTACTGTCACCCGTAAGGCATTTGCAGTCTGATTACCAGGAAGAACTTAATGAAAGCAGAGTTGGAGAGGGCTCAGCCAAGTGTGGGGAAGTGGGGCTGCAACAGGAGAGGCTGGGAGCCAGGCAGCCGGGAGGATGGGTCTTCTGGGGATATCAGGACTGTGTACAGCCCTGAGAGCCTGAAAGGGTGTGTAGGAAGGAGGTGGGGCAGAGGAGCATGGAGAAAGCAAGGTGCGAGAAGGAGGTGGGCATCTTTTATGCAGGCACTGGAGGGATGACTGTGGAGTTTAGGATTTTTCTACCCAGGGAGTCTCTACAGTCTGTTGTGTAGGATGGGCCCTGGTAGAAACAGGGCTGAGAAAAGGCACTGTGTGGGACTGGGCCTGTGAGGTGCTAGGGGTGAGTTTAGAGACACTCGGCAAGCCCAAGGTTGGGATTGTGATGCTCAGGCTCGGGCTAGAGGCATGACCATGTGTGGGTATCCAGTAAGAACAGGCAGAGGTAGATGGGTTCACATCCCAGCTCTGCCCCTCACTACCTGGGTGACCTTGAGCCAGATGCTTAACGTCTTTGAACCCATGTTTTGTCCTCCCAAGAAAGAGGCCAAGAACGTTTCCTGGGACCGTTTGTATGAGGCCATTTGTTTGCAGCATACCCAGCACTCAGTAGGTGCTAAAGCGATGCGACTTGTCTCGTGGAGTCAGAGGGCTGCTTCAGTGACTCCAGCTGGCCAGGCAGGATGGAAGTGGAGATCTGGGGCTGGAATAGGAAGGGAGCTCTCTTCCCCACAGACACTCTACAGCCAAGTGGAAACCCTGGGTTCTCCCTTGGTCAGGGTCAGGAGGAGGCACTTGGGTTTGGAGCCAGACCTGTCCTTACTGCCCATCCTGTGGTGCAATGTGCGAGCTGCTGCCACCCCTGAACACCCTGCCTCGCCTGGGCAACACCTGGCTTCACCTTGCACCTCCCTTCTGCTCTATCCCTCACTTCCTTCTTGTTCTCCTCCCCTCTTGGGCTCTCTAGGGAACATCTGTCACATGCTTTGCTGTTTTGCAGACAGAGCCCACCAAAGCAGGCCTCTACATAATGGGACAGATGTCTCTCACTTTGCTCTTCTCCCCCGCCCCCAGGAACTGTCCTCTCCAAGGTCAGCTGCGGCTTCCACATTGCCACACCCAACGGACGCTGCAGTCCTTATCTTTCTGGACTCTGTTGCTATTGAGACTGTGGAAACTTCCTCTTCCTACAACTCTCCCATCTCGGCTCCTGTGGCTCCACAATGAATCTTTCAACTATTTCTTTCCCTTTTTTTAGATTAATTTTTTATTGGAAAGTCAGATTTACAGGGAGAAGGAGAGTCAGGGAAAGATTGTCCATCTGTTGGCTCACTCCCTAAGTGGCCATAATGACCTGAGCTGAGCCAATCTGAAGCCAGAAACCAGGAGCTTCTTTCAGGTCTCCTGTGTGGATGTAGGGTCCCAAGGCTTTGAGCCATCCTCTACTGCTTTTCCAGGCCACAAGAAGGGACCTGGAAGGGAAATAGAGCAGCTGGGATATGAACTGGTGCTCATATGGGATCTAGGCACATGCAAGGCGAGGACTTTAGCCACTAGGCTTCCATCCTGGGCCCTCAGCAACTATTTCTTTAAAAAAAAAAAAAAGCTTTATTTAGTTAACTCAAAAGGTAGAGAGGGTGGAGAGAGACATAAAAAAAAGAGAGGTCTGCTATCTGCTGGTGCACTCCCTAAGTGACCACAGCGACCATAGCTGAGCCGATCCAGAGCCGGGAGCCAGGAGCTTCTTCCATGTTTCCCATGTGGGTGCAGGCACCTAAGGCCTTTTGCCGTCTTCTGCTGCCTTACCAGGTGAATTAGCAGGGAGCTGGATCAGAATTGGAGCAGCTAGGACTTAAACTGTGCCCATATAAAATGTTGGCGCCACAGGCCTATGGCTTAACACATTACACCACGATGCTGGTCCCAACAGCTCTTTCTTGAGTAGTTCCTATGCATTAGGCTCTTCAGTGCCACATCTCTGTCGTTGGGGAGTTTACAGTTCAGCATGCAGGGTGAGGAGTGACATAGAGAAACCAGTGTCAGGCGGTGATACAGGGCACCAAGAAAGACACAGTAGGGAAGGGGGCTGGAAACGTGCAGGGGTCTGGGTGAGACTGCCTGAAAAGAACGCAGAGCAGAAAGTTGAGGGCAGGCAAGGGTGCCTGGGGGTGAGCATGTGCAGAGGGCCTGGGGCAGGAACCTGCTTGGGATGTTATGGGCTGGAGGATGTTGAGAAAGGGCAGAGTAAGAGGAGAGAAAGTCAGGAAAGGAACCAGCAAGGGCATGTACACCTGCACTTTGAAGGTCAGCTCAAAGACTTTGACTTTGCGAGAGATGAGGCACTGCAGGACAGTTTGAGGCAGTGAAGTCTGAACAGTCACCTAGGCTGCTCTAGGTATCAGTCCTTAGGCTGGCTAACCAAGTGCCATGTGGCTGCGTGGCTGAAACTCAAGAATGGAGTGTGTCGGGGTCTCAGTACTGAGAGATGGGGAGTCTAAGACCATTTGCAGGGTATTTGCAGGGTCTGTTCTCCCTGTGTGTTCCAGGTCTCGTGCTTGGCTTCTGTGATCTGGGATGTGTGTGTTTCTTGTATATCCAGATCCCCTCTTTGTACAAGGTCGCCCATCATGTTGGAAACATGGGCTAGGACAAGAATCCCCATCCTATGCAGTATGATTTGACTTTAACCAGTTCTTCATGCCAGGACTCTTTTTTTTTTTTTTAAGATTTATTTATTTTTATTACAAAGTCAGATATACAGAGAGGAGGAGAGACAGAGAGGAAGATTTTCTGTCTTAATGATTCACTCCCTAAGTGAGCGCAAAGGCCGGAGCTATGCCGATCCAAAGCCAGGATCCAGGAACTTCTTCCAGGTCTCCCACGTGGGTGCAGGGTCCCAAAGCTTTGAGCCATCCTCGACTGCTTTCCCAGGTCACAAGCAGGGAGCTGGATGGGAAGTGGAGCTGCCGGGATTAGAACCGGCGCCCATATGGGATCCCAGCATGTGCAAGGCAAGGACTTTAGCCACTAGGCCACTGCACCGGGGCCATGCTAGGACTCTAATTTCGTAGCACATTCCTGGCTACTCTAGTGTTAGCACATCAGTGTGGGGGCACGAAGACACAGGTGCACCCATCCCGGGCTGGAAGGTAAAGAGGCGGAGCTCTTTTGACGTTCATACAGGGACCTAGAGATACTCCTGGCTGCAACCAAGTGGTAGCAGTGTGGCTTGTGGGAACAGGCAAAGTTGTGTGTACTTTGTAGATAGCGTTAACGTCACTTACTGATGGATTTGATGTGGGATGTGAGGGAGAGGGCGAAGTTGGGATGAGTTGGGTTCAGGTCCTGGTCACTCAAAGCGCAGAGCTGAGGGTCTCTCTCACTCGGATCTAGTCCTCCCATAGTGAACCTCCACATCAAGCCCTGGCTGGGAGGGTTTCCTCTCCTAGCCACTGGGTTCTTGGGTTCTCTGTTCTCAGTCACTTCTCTAGCCTGCTCCCATGGGGAAGCCAAATGTCCTAAATGTACTATCTGGGTCACTCCACAGGCCGCGGCTCTGGAGGATGCTGAAGGAGCAAGATGAGGAAGCTGGACACCTCTGAAGGATTAGACCTCTTAATCCTCCAACAGGTAGCTCTGGGGGCTGCACATTGTCGCGGTGTTTCTGTGACGTGGGTAGGAAGGGAGGTTGCTCACGGTGGGATATCCACAGCCTTCTGAGATACTGATGCTAGCAGGTGCTTGGTGCCTTTGGAGTCACGTGGGGTTGGTTTCCAGCCCCCACTGGGGTGGAGCTTGGGGCCTCCTGTCTCTTGAGTCCGCAGAGTCTTGTTGTATAGGAAGTGAAGGATCCAAAACATGCTCCTGGGTGGAAGCCCCAGAAATGCTCAGAAGGGGACACAAAGGGCAGGGGTGCGTGGTGGAGAAGGGTACGGTGAGAGGAGGCAGATTGCTAGAACCCAGAGCCTTAGCTGGCCCTGGGGCTGCCTACCGTGGCCCCACAGCCTGTTCTAGTCTCTGTTTCTTCTGGTAGAAAATGGGCATGCCAGCTATGCTTCCTCCACCAGGCCTTGCCCAGAAGAAACCCTGTGGAAGCTTGATGGTTTTGGGTATAATTGGAATTTTCTGTTTTTATTGTAGATAGAAACCCTGCTGTGTGGGTCCTTCCCACACATTGGCAGGAAGGTGGTGGTGGTGGTGGCTGGTCTGATGCCACGAGTGTGTGCGGTTTGGTTTTGTTGGCATGTTATGCTTTGGTTTTTTTCCCTCTTGCGTGAGAGTCAGGGTGGATGGCTTCGGTTTCTGTTTTATTATGCCTGGCTTTGATTTAATTTTTTAGACTGTTGTGTCTTGGGTTTCTAGTAGGAAGCAGGTGGCTCTCTCAGATAGGGTTATGGAAGGGACCAGATTCTGAAGGGGCCATTCATGAGGGTGTAGACAGGGCTGAGAGAAACAGACCCTCCCTGGGGCCTTGCTGGCAATGGCCAAAGGACAGCAGGGTCTGGCTATCAGACTGGCAAAGGCAAAGCAAGTGGCTTGGTCATCCCTGCTAAAGCGATGCGCTCAACCTCTCATGCACCCTTTCTCTCCCATTAGGCAGCCCTAGCTGGAGCCAGAGGGGAACGGGGCCCAGCCAGGTGCTCTAAGTGGACAGTGGCCCTCCAGGCACAGGGGATCTGTTGGCCAGGGAGAGGAGCCGCAGGTCCCTTAGGTTCTGAGGAAGGTTTCCACTTCAGAGCTGAGATGGGGCTTGAGTGAGTGCGACATATTTCCAGCTGATGCAAGCGCTGGAAAGGGTGAAAAAAAATCCTCATTTTTTGATTGGTGGAAAGCCCCAGGCGACCTCAAGTAGATCCCAAGGCCACCCCTGAATGTGTGAACAGCCTGTTACCTGTTCTTGAAATAGACACTGTTGAGCACAGGGCAAAGCAGCACAACTTGGGAGCCAGGAAAAGAACGTGATCACGCTCGCCTCCAAGTCAGGGGTCTGGGCTGTCCCAACAGGGACACCATAGGCCTTAGACCTGGAGGCCTGACCACAGCCAAGGCATGGCTCAGTCTGAACTTTGATGTGAGGGGGATAGAGCTCTGGGCTACAGGTGGCCCACTCCTCGCCGTGTCTCCCATGGCAATGGGGCCAGAGCTCTCTCATGGGCATCTCTTTTAAGACTGGTAGTCTTATCCATGAGGACTCAAGGGGTTGGGATTGTAACAGAGGGACAAGACCATTCAGAGCACTTGCCAGTTTGGAGCCATCCCGGCCATGACTACCCAGAAACTGGGCTCTGGAGGGCCACCCCCCAGGGGATTCGTCAGCTGATGCACCTGCAGTGGGTGGGAATAAGAATGGTAAACTACTGAGTGAGTGTGAACCAGCCGCTCAGCAGCGTCTTGAGCCATCCAGGTTCCTTTCCGTCTCTGGTGGTTGTGTCCTATGTGGGTTGCCCTCAAGCTGGCGTGTGTGCCAAGCTGTGGGGAAGAAAGCAGGCAGCAAATAGTACTTGGCACTCTTGATGGTGAAGGGTCCTGAAACGGCAGCTGACACCCACACCACTATCATTGGTAGACATCAAGTGGAACCCTACGGATTCGGACAGATCGTCGGCGGTAATAGCAAGAGGAATACCCACTCTTAACTAGTACAAGATGGAATTAAAAATTTCTTAAACACAGCATGGTTTCCGACAGCAAGATTTTTCCAGCAGTTCTGTTGGAAGCAATTAGCACCTGTTTCTCAGTATGTCTGCAAACAAGGCACCTTCCAGTGGATTAAACATGCCTTCCACGTTCCTCTTTCATTCCCATTTGCTTATTCAACCTTTTTACAGCAAGAGTAAACACCAAGCTAAAATTCAGGGGTGGTGGAGATTAAATGACGGTGATGTGGTTCCTCATTTGTAACCTCACCTATAAACTGCGAGTAAGAATAGCACCTTCTTTATAGATTTGCTGTAAGGCTTAACCGAGGTAATCCAAATAAAGTGCTTAGCCCAGTGGCTGTCTCAATAAACGTTCCCTTTATTAGTGTCGTACATCTCAGAGTATTGTCACCTTTATGTGTTCTCATGCGTGTTTTATCCAGGAAATTAATTCTCTCCACAATAAATGCATGATCTGCTACTGATGAGCTTTGTTAGCGATGAGGTAAATAAAGGTAGTAAAATGCATCGTGTTGATGTGTTTTAACGGAAGTGGTTTTTATTAGAATTCATTCTGGGGAAAGCCTAAATAAAGAAATGATGATGAAGTAGGATACTTCAAGAAGATACCATTCCTGGAAAATAGGAATTTTTCAGATTTTAAATTTCATGGCCACATCTTCAGATATTCTTAGTTGAAAAATATTTAATATTTTATTTTCTGTTCTAGGATTTATTTAGTTGCTAGGTAGAAGGCAGAATTACACAGAAAGAGAGGGAATGACAGAGAGAGAGACTTTTCATCTGCTGATTCATTGCCCAAAAGGCCATAAAGCCCTGACAAGGGAGAAGCCAGTGTGGTAGACCAAGGCCTCGCCCACTGCATCACAGCACTGGCCGCTGCAAAATCTTAGCAGTTGGACACCAGCATCCCCTATGAGCGCTGGTTTGAGTCTCAGCTGCTTCATTTCCAATCCAGCTCCCTGCTAATGTGCCTGGGAAAGCAGCAGAAGATGGCAAGATTCTTAGGCCCATGCCACTCACGTGGGAGGTCCAGCTTGAGTGCCAAGTTCTTGGATTTTGGTCCAATCCAGCCTGATCATGGTAATCATTTACGGAGCAAACCAGTAACTGGAACCTCTCTCTCCTTCTCTAACTCTGCCTTTCAGATAAGTAAAATGAGGGTTTTTTTTTTTTTTTAATAGTCGGTGTTCTTCCACAACCTGCCCCTGTCGATACTCTTTCTTTATTCTCAACTCAGCAGCTTGGAAGGGATGAGTGACCCTCCCTGACTTTGGTTTCTCCGGCTGACTGGGTGTGCTAGCTTTAGGAGTGGCCGCCTGAGTGAGCTGCTGGGGGCCATAGGAGGCCAGTGCTGGATGCAGCTGACAACATTCCACAACATTCCACAAACCATTCCCTAAAGCATTTGTTGCTGTTGGACTGACGTCACAGAAGTCCTAGGAAAGGCCTAGGTCTTTTATTTATTCATTTATTTTAAGATGTATTTCTTTTTATTGGAAAGTCAGAATTACAGAGACGAGAGACAAAAAGATCTTCCATCCACTGGTTCACTCTGCAAGTTGCCATAACAGTCAGAGCTGGACCAATACGAAGCCAGGAATCTGGAGTTTCTTCCCAGTCTCCCATGCAGGTGCAAGGTCCCAAGGCTTTGGGCCATCTTCTACTGCTTTCCCAGGCCACATGCAGAGAGCTAAATGGGAAATGGGCAGCTGGGCACAAATTGGAGCTCATATGGGATCCCAGCAGATGCAAGATAAGGATTTAACTATTAATCTGCCGCCCCGGGCCTAGGGCCTGGTTTCTTGATGTTTATTCCCAGGTTCACAATGATGGGACACAAGCTGGCACAGCACGCCCCAAAAAAACTTGATCACTTGTTCCAAAGCTGGGGGCAGTGGCTAGGAGAAGGGAGGAATGGGTGAAAGCGGCAGCAGACGGACATGTTCCAGAGTGATCAGACCTTTCTCATCCTGAGAACTGACTAGAATTGGACCTAGACTCCTGGCATCCGGGTGAGATCATCAGCCCTGAGTTGACTGGCTTACAGAGCATGATCTATACACACCTCTCAAATATACATGGCCCAGACCAAGAAAATGCCTCTGCACGCTGAAATGATTTGGGGGATTGACCTAGTGCTATGTCAGGTTTTCTTTTTTCTTTTTACATTTTTGTTCACATTAGTTGAGGGGCAGAAAAAGATGCTCCCCACATGCCGGACAGCTGGGAACTTCATCTGGTCCCCCATGGAGGGGCAGAAAGACCCAGCCACTCGAACCTGGTGCCTCCCAGGGTGTGTACCAGCAGGCAACTGGATGTAGGAGCAGAGCTGGCATTCATTCCTGGGTCCTGGGACATGGGATACAGGCATCCCAAGAGGCATTTTGGCTGCTGTGCCAGTGAGATGCCACCACGAGTTGTTTCTGTGTTAAAGATTCTAACATGAGCTGGGAGTAAGGAGGAAGAGGCTAGTGGTGTGGCTTAGAGGGTAAAACTGCCACCTGTGGTGTTGGCATCCCATATGGGCACTGGTTTAAGTTTCAGCGGCCCCACTTCCAATTCAGCTCCCTGCTAATGGCCTGGGAAAACAGCAAAGGATGGTCCAAGTGCTTGGGCCCCTGTACCCATGTAGGCAACTACCCCCCAAAAAACTCCTGGCTTCAGACTGGCCCAGCTTCAGACTATTGGCCATTTGGGGAATAAACCAGTGGATAAGGTATCTCTCTTTCCTCCCCTCTCCCCAATAAATCCTGCTTTTTAAATAAATAAAAATCTAACATGGGTCACCAAAGTTTTATAAAGAGACTATGTTGATGTACAAATATTAATAAGGAGTTAAATTATCAGCAAAACTTCAGTCTTTAAATGAAAAACGTTGAGCTTTAGGAATAATACACTGTTTTAACTTTACTGGCATCATCTGTGTGCATTCTGATAAGGATGGGCACTGCTACATACCTGCCCAGA